AGGTAGGGGGAGTCTCTGGCAGCCCAAAAAATTGACTTTAGTATGCTGAATGCTAATAAACAAAAGCGAAATTTATGGCGATAAGCTCATGATCACGTTGGCTTCATGACATCTCTGGTAGGCATATCAAATGCATGCAAGGGCCAAAGGGACCTCGGACTTTCATGGGGACATCTATGGGGGCTCTGTCACCTGGTCCCAAAATTGACCTCAGTATGCCAAACGCTTATGAACAAAAGTGCAATTTATGGCAATAGCAATATCATCACCTTTGCTTCTTGACATCTCTGATAAGGGACTCAGACAGGTGCACGTGCCAAAGAGGCTTTGGACTCTCATGGTGGTGGGGACTTGGCACATACGGTTGAGCATACAGCATGTGTAAGGATTGTTTTGCTGGTTATAGTCCTCACCACTGGAGTCACTAAAAAGACTTGTTGAAAATTGGGGAAGCTGCTACAGGTTGGTGGCAAGTGCAGTCCCAACCGATTGTTTTGGGTCTGAGGGCAATATAGGTTCAGAAGACCTTGTCCCCATGTGTTGTATTTTTGTGCGCGCTCAGGAATACAACACTGGGTCATTGGGCCATGTTGTATTTCTGAGAAATTGGGTCATGCCAATGCCATATTTCTGAGCACACACAAACGTACAACATATAAGAACTTAGCTCATGTTGTATTTTTGTGTGCACCCCGGAAATATGACATTAAACTTCCCTCCCATGATTGTATGTATTTTCATGCATGCTCAAAAAAATGACACAGGGCCAATTCCCATGTATTGCATTTTGTGTGCACTCAGAAAAACAACATGACCCAATTTCCAATTGTTGTTGTCCTGTGTGTGCTTGGAAATATGATGTGAGCCGACTTATGGGTTGTAATTATATTCATGCTCAGAAATATCATTTCTTATGTACCTATTGTATTTTTGTGCACACTCAGAAATACAACATGAGCCAATTTCCCATTGTTGTAGTTCCATGCGAGCTTGAAAATACGACATCACTCAAAATATTGGACTTCTCCCGAAACTCTACAAATGTCAGTTCTGTGTGTGCTCAAGAATATGATAATAACATGCATGTGCCATTGTTTTTTGCATGCTCCAAAATCTGACATCACTCAAGTCTGAACTAGTTGGTTATATATATATATAATATCATCCCTGATGCTTCTCTCAAGTATCGTATTTTCATGCGCGCTCAATAATACAACATCCCTCAAATATATCAACACTGTAGATTGACCCATGATCAAATCTTCCACGCAATTATTATCATGTTCTCTTTTGATGCATGCTCAATAAATCTTGCACAAAATTATCATGTCATCTTTTGATGTGCGCTTGAAAATACAATGTCACCCCAATGATTCAAATCAGAATAGTGAAATCCAATGATACTTGTTGTGTGGTTTAGCCTGTGTTATTTCAGTATTTTCAAAGTTGTTTACGATAGAGGGCATTTTGAGAGGGGCCCAAGGGTCCCCCCCAACCCGAACTAGTCGGTGTTTTTACCCTATAATATAAACATTTATATACATATATATAAACTATATATTACTTCTATTTTCGGATTAGCCCTGGTGCATGCTTATTAAGCATTTCCAATGCTTATTTAAGCATGTTGGGATGTTTCTAACGAAACATCCCACTGTTTTTGTGCACAGACCTCCCCATAAAGTATATATACCTTAAGGGCAAAAAGCTGATGAGTCTCAGACGAAAGCACCTGTATCTCTTGTGGGATAAGGTCCTCCCTTTTGCTCTGTCCTTTTCCTCATTAACTTCTCAAAAAACACTCGATTTCGAAAACACGTGATTTGTCTTTTGCAACCCAACCCAACCCATAGAAAACACAATGTCACAAACCACACATTAATTATAAAACAATAGAAAGGGGCCTCAGAAAACCCAACCTGCATCTCCAGCCTAAACCACTGCACTCCCTTGACAAATCCACAACTGACACCCTCTTATCTTTGTGGGTTCCTCACTGAACTTCCTTGCATAACGTGCATTGGAATTGCCTTGATGTCTCTTCCTTCCATACTATATAACTTTGTCCCCTAGGAATTGCTTACTTACACCCGGATCAGAAATTTCTGATCCGGGCATGTTTGGGACTTATGCCACCAATCATAGGTTAGATTGCATCCCAACCACTGATCTAACCCAACTCAAATGTCTCCATGTCCCTTACAATACCAACAAATGGATGAGTAATGGCCAATCATGGCACGATTGAGCACAAGTCAATCGTGCCCTACTTGTGCCATTGCTGTTTTCTCTCCCATTTCTCCGTATTATCAGGCCTTATTAATGTTCCAAAGGCCGTATTGATAATCCCCACCGGATGCAAAAGACCCTGAGTCAATAGCTGCTCTCGTTCTCGAGCTATTCAATAAACACACTTGTGCCCTCCACTTGTGCCCATGGTCCCATGTTTGAACTTTATTTCTTGAATAACTTCACAACCAGTGACCCGTTTCACCCAGGGTTTTCTGCATCGTGTATATATTTTCAATACCTACCTTTTGATATGCTATACACCCCAAATGAATCGATTCTCAACTTGAGCTCAAACACTAAAACTCAGGGCACAACTTTGTTTCCTCAATAACTCAGTCACCGTGGCAGCTATTCACTCGGGGTTTTTTGCATCTTGTAGAGAAGGTCCATACGGCCTTTGGACACTCGTTTATATTTCATAATATTGGGAACTGGCCGAGTACTGGCCAATGGCACGATAGGGCATGACTTGGCACACTATTTTCTTTCCTTGATAACTTGGTAACCAGGGCAGCTAATCACTCTGGGTTTGCTGCATCTTGTAGAGGACATCCATACGGCCTTTGGACATTTATTAAAGCCTGATAATACCAACAAATGGATGAGTAATGGTCCATGGCACGATTGGGCACAAGTCAATCGTGCCCTACTTGTGCCATTGCTGTTTTCTCCCCCATTTCTCAGTATTATCAGGCACTGTTGATGTTCCAAAGGCCGTATTTATAATCTCCACCGGATGAAAAAGACCCTGAGTCAATAGCTGCTCTCGTTCTCGAGCTATTCAATAAACACACTTGTGCCCTCCACTCGTGCCCTTGGTCCCATGTTCACACTTTATTTCTTGAATAACTTCACAACCAGTGACCCGTTTCACTCAAGGTTTTCTGCATCGTGTATATATTTTCAATACCTATCTTGTGATATGCTATACACCCCAAACAAATCGATTCTCAACTTGAGCTCAAACACTGAAACTCAGGGCACAACTTTGTTTCCTCAATAACTCAGTAACCATGGCAGCTATTCGCTCGGGGTTTTTTGCATCTTGTAGAGGAGATCCATACGGCCTTTGGACACTCGTTTATATTTCATAATATTGAGAACTGGCCGAGTACTGGCCAATGGCACAATAGGGCACGACTAGGGCACGACTGGGCACGACAATGAATTGGCCATAACTCCTGAACCGTTTACCGGACTTCCATTTCCGTTACACCGTTGGAAAGGTGTGATTTTTCTCTTTTTTATGATACCAAAAAATCGCCATGGCACAAGTATTATGATTCATAATACCCACTGTGATTAGATAGTTGCCATCAGGTACTTGGCGTTCACAGTGCAAACATACCGGTAGCGGGTTGATGTCATAAGCATGCAATGAGGATGACTAGTAGGGCCTTCAGTGACTTGGCATTCCCAAAGGGAACGTGCCGTTGGCAGGGAAACATGATGACTGGCGAAGGAGGGAACAGACGGTGGATGGGCAGCGACTTGGCGTTCGCTGCACGAATGTGCCGGCATCATGGGAAGGTGGGCCTCAAAGTATTCACGATCTCCATGATCGTGAGGTGATGTCGTATGTTGAGTACTGGGGGGAGAGCGGAGTGACGAGGACCCATAGGGTACAGATTCGATAAGACGATACACATGTCGAGAGTCTTCGACTCTCGACCTCGAGTTCTTGCAGCGAGGGCCGTTAGAGGACTCGATATAACCAGACTTATAAGACATATTGAGAGTTGTACAGTCACATGGGTTCAGTTGAGTCACAGGGAGGGTTGTTACAGAAGACGGTACACGAGACAGTTGTAGAGCAGTTGTTAGTTAGCGGGAACCACCTTCAGCGGTTTCCGTACAAGACGCGTGACTATCTACAAATGGTAAGGTTGCGGGAAATCCCGCAAAACACAAATAACATTGGCCAGCACCAAAACCCCAATGGGGAAAGCTTTGCACGAGGGGGGAAAGGGGTAGAACAGGTAAGGAGGATAGGGTATCGGGATAGAGGGTGGAAGAGAGAGGGAGGAACGATAGAGAGGGGAGTCTTTGACCATGCGACGGATATGGTCGTTGGAGACTCCGTATCCATAACAACTGGGGTCAAGTCCCAGGGAAAATTTCTCGACCCTAGCGACCCAAGTCTAGCCTATAATACATTGGTCAGATGTGGTGGTACTTTATGTGTTATATGAGATGGATTTTTGATGATTTTGATGCTGTAGGAAGCATTTATGACACATTTATTAAGTTATTAAAAACATATTCAGAGTGTTTGAGGGGTATAACAATGCATTCAAAAATGCCATAAACAATTTATTGCAACGTTTAGATGCCAAATTTCACGTTTAAATGGCAAATTTTGGCATTTTAAATGTCAAGTCTCGTGTTTTTGATCGATCTCGCAATTTTCCGATAAAAGTACTGCTCAATCACGTGACTATATATATATTATATACAACCGGGTTACATGTAACTTGGCCTTGTGCATGGGCAAAGGCGTAACGGATAGTGTGGTGACAGCCCCAACAAGATGTCGAAGCCTCTTGATTTAAAGCAAGCCGGTAGATACAAATACCCCAAAAAAGGAGGCGATGGGGCAGGTGGAGGGTAACGATGAAGACAACAGAGAGTAGCAGCAAGAAGCGCCAACAAAAGAGAAGAAGTGAAGTTACAAGAAACAAGGCATGAGCCGAAAAATGAAAGACACCGTAAACATCCGGGATCCAACTTGCAAAGGGTAACCAAGGCTAACTGCCTTATGAAGAAATTTCACGTTGCCCCGCGGGACTTACTCCGTGAGATCCAACTGAATGATACAGTTAAGGTCACAAGACAAGGACATAAAATCATGGACAAGCCTGGCATCGAAACCAGGACCTCTCAGTGTGCTACCATTACACAACTCACCCGTTTGACCATGCCGGTATAGGCTGTTAAACTCTATACCGATGGGAACAGATATCTATTCTCCAACACCTTATCCAATGCAAGACCGAATATTCAACGCCAACCAACCACCCTAACCAGAACTAATAAGAGAATTAGTTAGAAATATATGTCAGAGTCATAGAAAAAGGAAATAAACTCCAGCGTGCGCGGATGCAAGAGAGATAAAAGACTGCAGAACAACAGCATGCAGCGGACGTGAGAGGTGGTGGCTGAGAAGCCAAAGCGTACTGCGGACGCAGAAGAGAAGGCATGGAGGCCGAAGTGCTCAGCGGGCACGCATACAAGAAAGAAGGCATGGAGGCCGAAGCATACAGCGGACGTGTGTAAAGAGAAAGAAAATCCACCGACATACCGATCAAGCAGCAGAAATCAGAAACATGGACACAATTGCATACCAGACAACTAAGAAAAACTGAACATCGCGGATGAACAGTCTAAAGGCATAAAGCAATAAATATTGCGTACAGACAAGGACTTGACGTCACCTAGCAAAGGGGCACAGCGGATACCCAGATGAAAACTGAGGCGCTGAGGCCGGCGCACACAAGTCATATTTAATCTCGTGCCTCCATTAAATTCAAACTGACAGCTCATATCCGGGCTCGGATATCACCTCAGATATTTTGCCTCGAAACACAGTGAATTATTCTACATGTGATAATGATTATGGGTGACACATTTGCACAATCAGCCAGAAGTAATTCAACTAGTACTACAAAATGACCAATGACCAGCATCACAAGCTCCGCCAGGGTACATACTCCTTACAGCATCCCGCATAAATTCTTCATCAGGCTCAAACATTGCAGGGACATCCTTTGACAACTTCAGCAAGGCATCATATGTTCCGTCATCCTGGGACCGAATGGTGCGAAAAGTCCTTGAAGAAGCCCCGGCACACCAAATATCAAATGAGGTGAAGGCACTCGTGCGGACCTGTTTCTCTTGCCTTGATGGCTGCACCCGTTCAGGTGGCATTATTACAGAAACTTTGGATTCCTTCGATGCCAGTGCATTCACCATTCGAATCACTGGGGGTGGTCCTGTCGACTTGGCAAAAATTCCAAGTTCGAATGGGTCCATCTTGTCAAATAAGTGTCCCGTCGGGCTGGTCCCGTAAGAGTGATCATTCTTCGACTGTATCATGAGGGCAGACATATTGTTCCTTCGTAGTATGGTGTCTTGATAAAGAATTGGAATGACCACATCAATGCCATGTTGATTATCCGCACAGACAACTCCGACACCCCGGGCGGCAAGCTTAAAGAGATATTGGACAGAGAGTACCTTGAAATCATAAACCTTAATGAAATGCGTAACGTAAATGCGTGAGCTCTTGAATGTAGCAGCAAATGCGTCGTTGCAACTGCCTGTCAGCAGCTTTGAGGGCAAAGAATCTTTGATCGACTTGTGATAGATGTCGTGGGTAAAGAGCGCCTCGAACAACGAGGTCACCATGACCCCCCCTGGCTCCCATCTCCCTTCCCTGGACATAAGGTCATCTACGGTGTCGAGAATAATGTTGCACGTAATGAGTTCTCCCCGATCTCCCTTACTCATTCCAGGCCACTCCAAAATGTCTCGTAACATCTGACAGGACCGGACCTTATCCCGGATGGTGCACAAGATGATAGCCGCGGCCTCGGTGAGGATCGGCTCCGAGGCTGCAACCGTAACGACAGACTCAAATCCATCCTTGACACCCAAGCATACACGCATGTGCCTCTCGACTTGGTTCATCTGGTTCCTTACTGCCAACGTTCGGTGCCGACCAAAGTAAATGCTCGTATTGAAGTCCAGCACAAGGCGATGAGACATCACGGCAAACTTTTCATCGAGGGTCAAGTCATCCTTTTCCCACGCACGGCAGAGAAGTTTCTGGACAGCAAATACGGTGATTGTGGCTTTGACGCGTTCTCCGCCCTCTTGGTAGCGTGTCAGCCATCTACAATGACATAAAGTTATTATTGTGAAGAAAGATCTGGGAGAACGTACAAGGGACGGCCTAATGATAACCTGTACGGTAACTTGGTGACATCATCCAGAGTCATGCCCTCACGAAACTTCATCGCCATGCGATCGAAACCTAGTGCGCTGAACGGTTTGACACTGGCAAGTTTACCTTGGAGAATGCGGCTCGATGGATCAAGGGAAGGTGGTGGGGAGAATTGGTCAGACTTTCCTGCTGTGGATAAGAAGAGGGTCCAGATAGGGAACGACCGTAAACCCCGCAAAGCGCGTCTGATCGATGAGAATGCGGACCACCTCCTACCAGTATTTGAAGGCGCCAAGGTGTGGGCTTCATCAAATGCCAAAGTCAATATGGGAGTATGCTGCGTTCTGAGCTCGAAATGAGGGTTGATCTTCCCTAATACTTGTCGGACGACAGTATCAAGTGCAACCATGCCTTGTGTATAAAAAAGACATTGAATTAGTCAAGACCATGCTTAGGGAAGTAATGAGGAATACCATTTGTGTTTGTCGTGAACTTCCCGGGCGGTGTTTTCTGTTCTGAAGGAGTCATTGGCCTAATATTTGAATATAGCTGCCTCGATTATGAGTGACCTAGCGGCGACACAAAACAGGGACTTGCCTCCTCCGCTCTGGCCAATACCTCCTCGTAAAACTGCACACGTAGAGGAGCTTGGTGTCCAAACCGCTGTCCAAGTGTCATAAAAAGTCGAAACTGCCCGGCAAGGGATTTAGGATAGTCCATTAATGCCGCTGACTTCTCGGCCGGTGAGAGCACAGAAGAGGAGGCGATAATACTTTTTATTGAGTTATGTGGTCCAATGACGTTGGACACCCTCTCGAACAATGCAGTGAGAAATGCGCTGAAACGAGTATCGCTTTCCTGCTCTTTAAGGCCAATCCTTGTGAACCAATTCAAGACATCATGGTCAGGAGCCGGATATCCTAGATTGAAACATTAGAATCACACAGAAGAATACGGGAAGAAAATATCACCTTCAGCTCCCTGACGGAGATTGAAGGGGACTACAAAGTGCTTCTTGGAGAACTCGTCGACCATTCGCGATTTCCCCATGCCAGAGGACTGTACGATTGGTAAGAGGCGAGCATATGTATCAACAATATCTTGTCTCATCATGTACTGGTAAAGAATGTTGGCAGCGTCTCCTCTGTATTTGGAAGACCACGACTTGACCGCCGCTGGAAGGAGGTCGGAAAGGAATGACACAAGCAGGCGACGCTCTACCCACCATCTTCGGATGATTGAGAATCAAGTATCGCTTCAGGGTCGGGAGGACCCGCAGGCTGGGCGGTTGGAAGAAGAATTTCTGTAACGATCACAGTTTATCAGAGCCATCCAACAACGCCCAAAGCCTACGGTGCATACCCAAGTTTCGTATCTCCTTGAACGATTGAGCCTCCCATGCTTCATCTAACCTATCCCCCAACTCCGGATGTTGTGCGATTAAATCATCCAGTGGCGGTAAACTTTTCGAGTCGAGTACTCCGTCTGATTGGAGGACAATTTCTTTGAGAAGAAGAAAACGAAATTCATTTCTGGGGAGAAGTTTGGCAAACTTGAGCATGAACTCCATGACAAGTGCGTCAAGCGTTATGTGGGTGGCTTCGTCCAGGACATTGGGATGAACCGCGAGAGTCGTGGGTGCACGTTTAGAGGAGGGCTCACCCACTGACGGCCCAATCTCCAAATTGGATCTCTTTAGAGCTGACTGATTTGGGAGCGGGACTTGAATTTCGCGACTGCCGTGCGGATGTTGCTGGGGAGGCGTCAAGTTTCCTGGAGAATCCCCGAAGGCAGGCTCGGTGACTTCCACCGACGAACCTCCGATGTGCAGAGGTTCTTCTTCCATTAGTGTTTCTGGGGCCAAGGCATCTAATGGAACGGCTCCATGCCTACCGCTTCGCAAATTCGGCATGTTGCAGCGTTTTAGTAGAGTAGGAGGACTTGAGATGGACAGTCCCAAGCCGATCGAGGAATGCGAACTGTAAATGTAACAACAACTGGGAGGGTTACAAAGAACCCCGGCATACTCCGAGCCCCGAAAGTTGGCGCACAGGATAAATATGGGTGCTTGCGTGCGACCCTTTTCGGAAATAACTGGTGGACGCCCAGTCGTTCAGTCCGATTGTGGCTGGCTCCTACACTCACGTACCGTGTGAAGTATAATAGATTCCCGCAACTTTGCCTTTGCCTCGGATTCATCTCGCGCACCTCAGATTCGGTGCGGGATCGTCGGGATGACGTGACGGTGCAGACAAAGTTCAGCAGTAGAGATGTCGGCACATCGCGAAATCGATCAAAATCACGAGATTTACATAAAACGCCGTCTAATCAGACGGTGTAAGCGCTTTTAGTGGAAACGGCCGGAACCCAAGCGGTCCCGGCCCGTGAATTGGCGGGCGCGGGCATTGTGCGACCCGTAATGCACAACAGAATACACGAATACATAGTTCAGCGAGAAACAGGAAAACTGTAAAAATATAAAACCGAAAAGCTAGGAATATCAGGTTGGTAGGAGGTGGGTACTTTGACTGGGCAGGTGTGCCTGAGGAAGTACGATATCCAATGAACGTAAACAATGAAGAAATCAAGCGACCTTCCGGAGCGGATAATGGCGAGCTTATCCTGGCCGACCATGATTTGAAAATGATTGATTACTTACATGTATCTGCATGTGTAAACAAACATAGTAATTCACAGAGATTGCATTCTTGGGTGAATTATAGGAGGGTGAGGCCGGCAGGGGGAGTGAAAATTAAATATGTTGGCTTCCTTGCCACAACCTCGCCATAATTCTGGCGGAAAATAGGTCACGTGGGAGTGAAGGCTTGCAACGCCGAGCTCCTTCATCCTTGCAACCACCCTCTGTCCCCAGAGATGAATCATCTCCAAATCGCCCTTATGGGCTTTCATACCACACCTAACCTTGAATTGGTATTTTACTGTCCACATCCTGACCTTACTATCCGCGACGCATTGGTAATCACTGAGAATCCACACTCACGCATTGTCCATTGTGGACTCAGGTCAAGACATTGGAACCTCATTTCGTTGATGTTTACGGAGGATTGTGCATATTCTACGTCGTACTTCGTTGTTCACCACAAGCTGTTCCCCTCCCCCTCGTACCTACCTAGCCATCCAATTGCCTACCAAGTCAGCCAACACCTTGGTCTCTCGCAGCCGAGATTGGCTCCGGCAGCACTGTGATGATGGCCGAAGGGCCCTCAGCACCCAATATGCCCGTGATGCCTTCCCCGGTGTGCCACCTCTTGGCGGGGTGCATATTTTTGTCATCAACGAAGAACGTACGTCCATCTTGTAGACCTCAATGTTGCCCGCCTTACACGTGCTCTAGTTCTTGAGAGCCTGGATGATCTCTGGTGGATTGACCACCATCATCGGATATAATAAAGTGAGTAGGAGGATCGGACTCGGACAGTGCACACATTGATGTTCTTGACAGACTAACTCAATGACTAAGCACTGCAAGCCCATTGCACGCTTTCTGCATGAGGGTCTCTCTGGCCTTCTCCTTCAGTACCTGATATTCATCAGGACTGTAGAGGAGGGAGAGTAGGCACGGTGGTGCCTGTGCCATTACCTATTCTATACAGGGGAAGGCGAGACTGCCGAGACAGGCCTCTTGAGTACGCGCTGAAGAAGGAAACAATGCATTACCTCCAAGCGGGCCTGGACGTGCCAACTTATAGGGGTGGTCTCGGCCCCCGTGTCTTTGCTCTCTTCCATGCCACCAGCCGGTTATGGCATCACACCATGCTGGGATTGTCGGTAAAAGGTCATGTGGCAGAACTGAAAGAGATCCTGGATGACAAGTCGACCACAAACAGGCTTCTGGGAGAGGAAAACGATGGTGGTGCGAACGATGATTCAGCAGCCTCCTTGAGCTTACGGGACCTGGTCAAGGAGGCGATCCATTAAGAGGTTTTGCCCGAGCTCAAGGGAGTGATGGAGAGCATGGAGCTACGTCTGATGGCCCAGCTAGAGAAGGTGTTGATGAATAGGCTTGCTCCTCCTGCCATCAATGCCAACATAAGCAGTGTGGGGCCCCGCACCCTTACCCCTACTCCTCCAGCGGATTCATATGCCCTTTCTCCTCCCCCTACCATCAATGCAAATGTTGGCAATGTGGCATCCCACGCCCTTTCCTTTGCCCCTCCAGCGGATTCGTACACCTTTTCTACCCCTATTGTTCAGATGCCGCTGCACACACCTTCTCCCCTTCCTCTTCCTTCAAGTGCCCCCACTGCATGGCAATCGTCAACGCAGGCCAAACAGTGGGAGAAGCAGCTATGGTCAAGCAGGTCTCCATCTGGAATGGTATGTTCAATATTTATGACGCAATTTGATGGGATGTTGAGACAAAACTTGTCACAGGATGTTGATGTCTTAGTTCAAGAAGAGGAACAGGAGCCCAGGTACATCAAACCCCACAAACGTCGACATCATCTTGGGGCCGCACCCGTGGTCATCGCTGCAGAGCAGAGGGGTGTGGGGGACCTCAGGACTGGGCAACACCCTCCCAGTCGCCAGAGTGCCAGTGAAGGTGCGTTTCTCTCTCTGCCCCCCTTCCAACACACTGATATTTTTAAAAAATCTCAGCTATGCCTTCCCCTCTCCCCCAAGAGATAGACGGCTCGATGCTATCGACAGCATATGATTCAGAATCCACCTGCATGCTTCGAGCAGTGCTTGATGATCCGACGGCAACGTTCAGGGCTCCTGCCCAGTATCATGTCTATAAGGAGATCATGGCCAGGAAGCGTCATTGCCTCTTTGTTTCTGCCTGTGGTTCTGGAAAGATGCTACCGTTTGTCCTCGGTGCCAAGATGTGGGCCCTCAGCGGCAGGCAATCGGTCTTGGTGTTGCCCTGCCAAATCCTCCATCCAGAGATGCACAGACGCTTGGGCAAAGCCGGCCTCTCCCACTGCAAATGGACCATTGAGAATCCGCATCCAAGAGAGCAAGTGGTCACCGTAGCCGATCGAGACCTTCAGCAACGATGTGTTCATGACCTGGCTTACAGCATTGGTGAATGGTAGACAGCTAGGGTGTCTCATGTTCGATGAAGCGCATGGGATCACAGAGGATCAAAGGTTCCGTCCTGCCTACGAGGATGCGATCCACAAACTCTCATGGCTCCAAGATGCACCAATCATTTTCACATCGGGCACGATGTCCCGGGACTTCACGTCTGAGTTCTGGAAGGCTCTGGATATCTGGTATCTGCCAGACAAGGCTGTGATCATGATCCGCACCAGCACTCAGAGGCCGCAAATCTTCTACTAGTTCATGGTGCTTGACATTGGCCAAGAGCCTCAGATGACAGATTCGCCAGCCCACAAGGAGGAGTGGAATCTCAGTTGGCGTGCATCCACCGTCGGGGTCCTCTGTGAGGCAGAGAGGGGCTTGAAAGGAGACGAGCGGGGCCTGGTGTTTTTCGTGGGCAAGAGCGAGTGCATGGAGTGGGCGGGGCACTTGGACTGCTCATACATCACCGCTGATGTTCCACCCCAGCAGCGTTTCGAGGATTGGCGTAGAGGGAAGCAACAGATCCTGTGTCTCAACAAGGCAGGCTACTATGGTTTTGATTACTCTGCGGTAGCGTTTTCAATCTTCATTAGTCAACCGTTTTCAATCAACGACTTCTACCAGAGTTCTGGGAGGGTAGCTTGAGCTCTCTTAGCTGGGTCAAGCCTTGTATTGCTGCCATCTGTTCCAAAGCGCACCGGTCTTGTTATCAAAGAGTGTTTTGAGGGTCGCTTGGCGATGATGAGGACTGCCCACCAACTCAATATTTGCCATCAGGTCTTTCCTTCGCAGCATCTGGATGGTATGAGTCGAAAGTACATGGAACTTCGCGAATCAGAACACTGCATGGTGTTATGTGCGGTGTGTCACAAGGAAGAGGAGGGCAAGCTGAGGGACTACGATTTCAATCGTCGCTGGGGGAAACCTTTCAGTAAGTAGGGTAGGACCCATTTCCTCCCTTCTCTGACCCTCCTTTTAGAAATGGCATGCAAGGATCGAAGCCCTACTATCGTTTCTGAGAGCTGCTCACCTGATCGCCCCCCCATACGCAGGCAGGTTCCAGCCATTCTTGGGCTGCTGCTAGACCTTCCACCTCGGCTGGACCTTCCGCCTCTGCCAGGCCTTCCGCCTCGGCTGGACCCTCTACCTCGGCTGGACCTTCCACTTTGGCCATCAATGTTTCACTTCAGCGATCCTGAGCCAATGGTGCTGCTGCTATGCCCAAGTGCAGGCCTGTCTCCAGGAGCCTGGGGGAAATGTCTGCTTTGCTGGTTGCATGGTGCTCATGGCTCGCACGCAACAGCATGCTGTCTTGGCACCGACCCATGGCAGGGGTGGCAAGAGCATCAGCTGCAACGCCAGGATAGGTCCTGGAAGCGTAGCCACTTTTGCGCTGAAAGGGGTGAAGGGGGTAAGGGGAAGAATGTTGAGGGTTATTGTTGGATATGCCTCCTTGACAAGAGCTCTAGTTTGGTGCATCGTGATTCAACTCCAAGGGGATGTATGTTCCATGACATGATTCCCAAAATGGCATGGATCATCTTAGGCTCGGAGCGGCTCCGTGAGGCTCTTGCCAACTATGTTGAGGATGACAAAGTGGCGGCTATGAATCACAGCTGTTGCTTGGATGGCAGGGCAACAAGGGATGGCGTAACTACTTCACTCTGTCAGTACTCTTCTTCTTCCATCACGCTCGTAACCATTTGTAGTGTATATACTTTGAGGGTAAGGGCACCTGAATATATTCAAGGCGCTGGTATCTGTTATATTGAACCATGCAGTATGTTAAAATTGCGATCATCTGGTGCCCCGGCCACTGTGGCATTGACGGCATTGAGGGAAATGAACGTGTGGATGAGCTTACCAAGTCTGGTGCTCGCATTCGACCCAACCAGATTACTACTCGCTATCCTTCGTAGAAAGACTCCACAAATACGAAATGCAAGACGAATTGAGCAAGCCTTGGACCACAAGACACCCAGCAGGGTCGCCCAATTCCGCACCAGACATGCCCACACCAGCGAGTGCCATCACCTAGACCATAGTTCGGTTCAATTCAAAAGCAAAATTTTGCGAACTTGAACTGGTTCGAAAAAAGCATCGCAACAAGTTTATCCTGGGAATGTGTGTGTGTGATTCATTTTAAACTCCCATATCCGTGCCTGTTGGCATGTGACAGAACATACAATGGCACTGCACAGAATATGAACAAAGTCTTGCGATTGTACCTCCCATCTTGCCAGCTCTCAGACTGCCATCTGCCGGTATTCCATCCATTTTCCCCTCCCCATCTCTTCAGTCTCTACCGACACCCCCTGCATTCCTGGACTTAGCCCAAGCAGACAACCAGTACATGATGCTATTGATTATCAGATTGCTGCCTCTTTCCTGGACTTTTCCCGATGGAAATGCAAATGGAACTTGCATTTCAAAATGATCTTGGATCCAGTTGGGTCGTTGGGGAGCTGGAGCAGCTTCCGGGTAGAGAAAAATGGATGAAGTCGTATCTGAGTGGAGGATAAGCCTTGCTTTTCGCCTGCAGGCTTTGCAAACAATGTCTGAGCATGTGAACTGCCGGAATTCAGTCGGGCTCCCAGGAATTCTATGCCACCGCTCCCACATCCACTCCCCTTTCCCACAAGAGCATGGATCAAAACCAGGTAGGCAGTCTGGAAGGAGCCTGGTCATGATGGCATGGCAATCTGTCTCAGGTGTGTGCCATGGAAGCCAAATGAGAGAGGTAGTGCAGACATCAGCATTGCCACCGACTCAACAGAATAGAATGTGTTCTGAGAATTGGTTGACCCTTAAATGCTATCAGTCTTGCTTGGGCAGGGTCCCCACGATCAAATGACTCCATAACGAACGTTGCCACTGATGTGCCAAGAAGGGCAGGTGGGATATTCCTGGAGGCGATATGGAGGACCCATTTGAAGAGGGAGCTGATCCAGAGTGAATCAAGATCAAATGCCAAACATCAGCAGTTCAGGCAACACACCTCCCCAGGGCATGTTGTTGTACACGACTCCATTCGAATTCTTCCTCACATTCCACAAGGAGACCCACAAGTGATGTTTCCACTGCATTGGGTTGTGATTGCTGCAGAATCACATCAGGTCATGGGCCACAAAAGAGGGTGAACACTCACCAGCATGGATTTGATCTCGTGGGCTGTCTGGAAAACACTATCTATCTTGTATCTGTGAACCATGACAATGTACAAGACAACGGCATCATCCTGTGGGTTACCATCACCTACGATCTCCTCCAGTTCATGCTTCAAATGGTGAGGACCCTGGAACGCATTCAAATCTTTGATCTATAACCGGAGGTCAACCATAAAACACAGCACCTGCAGCTGGGGAAATACCAGGAGATTGGCTGGACAACTCCCAAAACGTTGCAGGAGAGCAGATTGCACATAATTGATGAGATGACCAAGTATTCCATCTTCGCAGGAGTAGAGGAATACCATCTGGGCTGTACTCCGTTGTAGAAGAAAGGGTGAAGTGTTGAAATGCTTGACCTGATGACCCTTGTTGGCGCATGCAATGCTGAGGGAAATACAACGAACCAATGGGGGCTGCTTCCTTTGTCTCTGACAACTTTGGCAGTAGTATCGTGTCCCTAGGCACTCTAGGCTATCCTTGGCCATGCATCCGGTACAATAGGCCTTGCCGTCTTGGTTTACTTTGACGTCCCCGATACATTGTTTCACAGCACAAGTGGGGCAATTTACACACGTTCCGACTGCAGGACAGGAAGAACAAGTTGAATAATTGGTGGAAAAGTGGACAGACATAGCAGAGATGAGTCGCTGCTGTTGTTCACTGTTTTTCGGACACCAGGTGCTATGGCAGAAAACCTACAAAACCCCTCTGAGATGAGCGCAAAAGGAAATATACACGTGATCAGGGCCAAACCAAAAATGATGGGAATTGATTTAGAATATATCATGCTTGAAAGTGACTAATCAGGTTCGACTGAGGATTGTAGCGGGAGATGGCCCAGGAGGCCCAGATGTCAGGGCACACCCGCCTGACCCGGCTCCACCCGGCCCAACCTGACCCGGTACCCTGCCAGTCCACCCTTCCTTACCCCCTCCCCCTTTCCCTTCTTCCCCCTCATCCTCCCCTCCTCAGTTTCTCCTTATCTTACTTCCCCTTTATTCTCTCTTTATTCTACATGGACGACTTTCTCTGTATCAATGTACAACTGACCCATCTGCAGCGCGCCCACCATGTACCCGGCCCGGGCACCTCAGGCGACTTCCTGCTGTGCCCAGCACGCGCGCCTGCACCGGATACCCTCGGGATCTCCCACGGAGACACCCGGGTGGTTACGGCTGTGTGCAAGGGTGACGTGGCATCCGTCATGTGATCCAAGCCGCATGTATATAAACGAACCTGAAGTGGGAACCGAAGAAGTAGCCTTCTTCTCAACTTTCCACTTCAGGTAAGTAGTACAATATTTCTCCTTTAATAATAATAACAACTTTCCACTTCAGTCTAAGTGGCCAGGGACTACTGTCCCACATCGGGCCTGTCAGTACGCACGCCCGATCCGCCCCCCGCCAGGCTCTCGGTCCCGGACGCTATACCCGGACCCCCTCGACCCCGGATGAGTCCCTGACACCAGAATGGATTGGCAGCAGGCACGGCAAGACACGTGTAATCCGTTACTAGTACAAGGGAAACCAAACAATAAAAACAAGCGAGACAACAAATGAGAAAGTTCAGAGAAATAACTAGACACACGTGATCTGCTACAAGTACAAGGGAATTTCAGGCAATAAGAAGAAACCATACATTTAAATTTAATGGATGCACGAGATTAAATATGACTTGTGTGCGCTGGCCTCAGCGCCTCAGTTTTCTTCTGGGTATCCACCGTGCCCTTTGCTAGGTCAAGTCCTCATCTGTATGCAATATTCATTGCTTTATGTCTTTAGACTGTTCATCCGTGATGTTCAGTTTTTCTTAGTTGTCTGGTATGCAATTGTGTCCATATTTCTGATTTCTGCTGCTTGATCGGTACGTTGAAGGAGAGAACGAAGGAAGGTCAGTTGGGAGGTTCAAACGAGACCACCACCAAGCTGTTCCCTGGTTCTTTAGTTAGGATGTGTTAGAATGGGGCGGAAACGGACGACTCCGGAATGGAATCGGAGACTTATCATGGAAGGACCTCGGCCTCAGCGACTCAGGCGGAGCGCTGTGCCATTGCTGGTTGTCCTGGGGGTCCCTAATTTCGGATCTAGCAGAGGGAAAGTCTCTTGGGGGGGAATTCCAGTCGATTTCGGACTGAGGTTACAAGTTACTAGGTACATTGTATATAAGGAGGGGTCCGGAATCAAAAGGAACAAGGGTAAGACGAAAGGAGACAAAGGGAGATGGAAAGAGGAACAACACCGAGGGTCAAGTGTTTGACTCAATGGTGTTTCCCAAAGGAGGAATGAAGGGCCAAGGCCCAAGGAGGAAGGAAGGAGGATGGGAGTCGGGAATGGCTAGCTGACTGAATAGAAAGGAAGCAGCAGCCCAAATAGGAATGAGGGAGAATAGCGGAATTGAAATGGACAATGCAATAGTTGCAAGGTCCGGAGTAAGTCCGGAAAGTCCGAACTCGGAGGTTAAACTCCGGAATATTGGCAAAGGTAATTAAATGGAATGAGCTAACCAATACAATGGGTATAAGCGGAGGTGGGGTCAAAGTCCGAGGTCGGAGCTAAGACCGGAGGTTCCGGAGACGAGACGTGAACAGGATACCGGAGCGGAGGTCCGGAGTCGGGAGCATAGGTTTTGTGTACTCGTCTGGAAGGTGTCGAGGTTGGGGTCGGACCCGGAATGTTCCGGAGTCGGACCGAAGGTGGTGTCCGAGCCGGAGGTGGGATAACCTCTTGGGAGTCGGCAAGGAGAAAGTGATGGAAGGGAAGTAGGGCTCCGGAAGTCGGAGTTCGGAGTTCCAGGAGCCCGGAGCGGAGGTTGGGATTGTATGGATATGACAGGATGGGGAAGTGTACTAGTGTTATTTATTGTAAATATAGTACCAATCCGAGTGTTTTGGCTAATTCTATTTTTATGGGTTAGTTTTAAAGTTCCTGGGAATTGACTTACAGATAAACCGAGCCCTGCGGAGCTGTTTCTTTATTGAAATTTCTTAATTTGTCTAGGTGTAATTCTGTGTAGCGTTGTTTTAATTTGGATTTAATCTTCTACTTGGTGAAGTTTCAAAGATTCTAATCAGTTAATGGATTTGGATTGTGTCTGGAGTGTCCCTTGAGTTTGTTCTATTTTTGTCTTATTTTATTGCTTGTTTTAACAGTAGCAAAATAACTGTTTTGTGTTTACACTTTGAAATCTGGAGTGTTAACCAGCTCTCCTGTTGAAATATCTACTTAATATTTCTCTCCTTTATTGCTGCCTTTTACTACAGTGGCAATCTTAACTGTATATCACTTTTTCGCACTGGAGTGACAACCAGAAATGCTTGAGAAAAATAATACTCTATTTTCTTACTTCTCTAAGGGGGGCGAAAAGTCGCAGAAAGGGTCTCCCTTTTATACTCCTTGGGTCGCCTTCCTTTTTCACGCTCTACCTTCTATTTACAGGATTTATTTACAGTGTATTTTTCTCAAACTGAATAAAAATGAAATTTTCATGCTATAGTTCTACTGCGCTTTTGCTGCGCTGAACTGCGGTTCTACTGCGGTCAGACTGCGCCTAGAATTCTTATTTTCCTCCCTCGCCTAAGCTATTTTAATGGTTAATTGGAACTTGGCTGCGCTGCATTTGCCGCAGTTACCTATTTCAAATTCCCTATATATACCATTAAATTTGCTATGACTCGATGATTCTGAATTCAAACTTCGCATTACTATGCATACGGCTGTGCTGAGACCTTCAGCTGATTTATTCCATTTTTATTTAGTGACATTTAGTTAAAATGAGACTGAAATGGTAAATGAGTGAAGTATTCAGGTTTAAAACTGAAAGAAAAAGTTGCTAGTAATCAAGAATTACTCAAACGAATGTGTTATAGCTCTCCACCTCATTAGAATATCGTTCCCTAAAATTCCCGCCATGGTCCGTCGTAGTTTAGTGGTTTTCGTGAATTTCGTTCATATTCCCTGATTCCCTTTTGTATTATCACATCCTAATCCTCCATATGTATTGTTCGTTGTTATAGTAGGTCGTCCTTGAAGATTTCATATTTTTATGTATTTTATTTAGGACTCTGGACCTCTTGAAGCTGTTTTCCCGCGCGTTTTCAGGTTTCTAACTTCATGTCCTTATATCTCATTCATTTCTGGATGTTTTCTCACGTTCTTGGTATCATAAATTTTCATTTATTCCCACCTTTCCAATGGTACTAAGGTTGTGTCCTATTTCCTGGTATTCGTTGAGTTAGCAAAAGTTCGTGCGCACATTCGGTAATCACGTGCGTCATTCCCATAGTCGTTCGTATGCGGGCGCCGTTTCCGTTTAATTGTTCGGGATTTATGATATGCGTGGGTGTTGATTTCTTTCATATGGGCTTCTGTGATTTATTTCAGATTTTTCCCTCATGATTTAAGGTTGTTTTGCACTTTCCGTGCTTTGTTTTGACCGGGCTCTTCCTTATTTGGACGGAAATTGGTCTTCGCGATCTGCCGAAGTGCGGATCTCGGTTCCGACGGCTGGTTCCCTGCGCATCGCCACCCTCACGTGTCATTACACATGATGCGGATTTCTATATTCCCGTCATGGGTATAACTTCACAACGGCTGGACTGTTTGGGCTGAAAATTTGCATAACTATAGTTCCCCATTTTTAATAATTTCCGTGTAAATTTCGTTGTATGTTTTAATTATGGATCCTATGCAAACATCGTCTTTTCCCTAAGCTCGGACTTTTGATGTCACTATTCCCGTTATTGGATATCTCATTAACGCATGATCCTTTTATTATGAAAATTTGGGAGGATTAAGATTGGATCCCTTCCTTTCTAATGGGCTATCAAGCTTGTCTCGGTCGTTACTGGTTAATCTTCGCGCTTCCCTTTTAGGCATTGTCCTCGTTTTGCAGGAGTTTTAGTCATATCTCCATCGTTTATAGGTAGTTTCCCCTGTAATTACTCTCATTGGTTCCGTTTGGAGGACATCTACATTTCCTATTGTAAACACGACTCTGACTTTTGCATTAGTTCCTGAGGAATCTTCGTTCCGTGGTACTTCCATCCTTGGCTACGTGTTCGGACGTGGGAAAGTAGTTTCCATGGAGGTTCTCTGATTATTTTTATAGTCAAATCTTGGTCGATTGTCCTAATTCTTGGTTTAATATTTGCTATAAATTCCCCCGAGAATTCCGTCTCGTTGATAGTAAGTTTGAAGTATTTTTGCTATTTTTCTTTCTTTCAATTTATCGTGTATAGTCATAATAATTCGTAAAAATTCGTAAAATTCGTTAAAATTCAGGTCCTTCTATTTTCTCATATCTACTTGTCGTATGAGGTTTTTGTGATTTATCTGGCATATTTCCATAATGGGTTTCCATAGTGTGGCCGTTATTTCTCCTACAACGTAGGTTTATTTTCTTTCTCTTTACACACATCCGCTGTACGCTTCGGCCTCCGTGCCTTCTCTTCTGCGTCTGCGGTATGCTTTGGCTTCTCAGCCACCAC